AACCCAGGTGGTGCACAAGTATGGCATATAGTAGCCACTAAATAAATATTCATTTATGACTGAATTAATTTCTTTGGAACTGTGGCATTGCCTCTCTTTTCTCATAATTCTTACTCTTATGGATTGAATTCTGTCCTTCTCTCCAATTCATATGTTGAAGCCCTAACTCCCAGGACCTCAAAATGTGACCTTATTTGAAGACAGAGTCTTTATAGAGGTAATCATGTTATAACAGGTTCATTAGTATGGGCCTTAATCCAATCTAATTGGTTTTTTAGGAGACAGGTGCATGTCCGTGGAGAATGTCATATGAACATTGAGACATTTGATGCTTCCGTAAGCCAAAGAAGGCCAAAGATGGCCATCAAAGCCCTAGAAGCCAGGAGAGGCCTGGGACAGACACTCCCTCAGAGCTCTCAGAGGGAACCAGCCCTGTCCATTCCTTGATCTTAGACTCCTAATTTACAGATCTCTGAGAAGCTATATTTCTGTGGTTTAAGACAACTTGTATATAGTATTTTTTATAGCCATCCAAGGAAACCAGTCCTCAGTAGAGATCAGAGTGGAGACCTATATGAAATTATCTCTGAAGCCCCTTTACCTTCCCTAAGTTTGTATTCCCCAGATCATATTCAGTCTCCTTTTCCTTTTGGCTGAATCCTGCCCATTCCTGGCTTCTTGGGCAATGATTTCTCTGGGTCTCCTTTCCAGTGGATGGCTCATAATATTCTCCTTTGAGGTCCCAGCAGGTCCTGAGGCCCTGGCTGGGGAGAACAGAAATGTGGTGGGCCAGGCATCTCATGGGTTTCCAGTCCTCTGCACATTTCCTGATCCTGGAGTTGAACAGGTGACACATGCACAGATGCCCGGATGACAGCTGGAAATGGGAGCAGCCTGGGATGCCTCCCACAGGGGACAGCGTCATTATCACACCATGAGCCGGCTGAGAAGGAGCAGACGGTGAGTCCTGAGGGGGTCCTAACCTGAGCTTTATGCAAACTGGGAAATTCGATAGGTTGTACAACTTGTCCTACATGAAGCTGCCATAACGGATGGGTCTCTAGGGGTGGGCTTGGTTGCCATGGAGACAACAGGGTAAGGAGGGGTTAAGGAAGAACACAGCTGTTCATCTAACTGTGCATGAGCCCACTCCTTTTCCTAAAGTAGATCTTCTTTGAGGTCATCTCACTTATTTCTCTGCTGTCATCAGGCAGGATGGCAGCCATTTCGGCCTCCATTTATTGCCAGGATTGGAAATCCTGCCACCCCCTGTAGCCATCACAGGCTGCTATGGAATCCTTCTCTTTTTACCCTTCTGGGAGGATCTTTCTAGCAAGTGGCTTATGTTTACTGCACAGAAAGTGCTTGCACTGAGGAGGGTACCCATTCTGCAGATAGGGGCTAGTGACAAGGAGCTATGTGTGAAATAGTATGAAGCTCATAGAATCTGATCATTGGCAGGTTTAAGAAAAAGATCTATGCCAGTGTGAGGGGATTAGCCAAGAGAGCTGAAGAAAAGAAAATGCATTGATTCCTCTTCAAGGTTACTTTTAACTAATGATTCCTTTTTGCCAAAAATGCCATAGAAATGAGGCCTTGCCTTTATTGGGGGTATTCTGTTGGGGGGCATATGAAATTGATTTTCTGCATCATGGGTGATGGAAACTTTGATCTCTTGCTCACCATGGGGTCTACCTGATTTCCTCATCATGAGGCTACTATTGTTCTGGTTCTAATTAATAAGCTTCTTATGGGAGGATAGAGAGGATAGATTAAGACCATACAGATATCCTGTTTCTTTTCGGACTTTCATCCACTAATTTTAGCATCCATTGCCCATTCTTGCCTGAAGAAATTATTACTGTGAACTTTGCAAATGATGACTTTTTTTTTTTTGGTACCAGGGATTGAACCCAGGGTTGCTTAACTATTGAGCCACATCCCAGTCCTTTTGATTTTTTATTTTGAGATAGGGTCTTTCTAAGTTGCTTAGGGCCCTCCCTGAGTTGCTGAGGCTGGCTTTGAATTTGTGATCTCCTGCCTCAGCCTCCCTAGCAGCTGGAAACATATGTGCACACCACCACACCCTGCTGCAAATGATGATTTTTTTATTTCCATATTTATTAGTTGAGCTTAAAGAAGGGCACCCCTCTTACCATTTGTTTGTCAAATGTCAGTAAAGACCATGAATCCTTATTTTATTCTGTTGGTAAAGACCATGATTATCATTATTTCCCTGCTCAAATTGCTCCAAATTTGACCACTGGGATCCCCCCCTTCAAGTTGGCTTTGAGGTCCTTTTAATATGTACCCTATTTTTTTTTCAGTACTTCTTGCCAAGAATAAAAGTAATAACCTGAATTTAATCATGATGAAGCATCAATCATATCCAAATCAAAGGACATGCTACAAAATAACCGTCCTGGATTCTTCAAGGACATGAAGGACAAAGAAAGACTTCAGATCAAATGACTAAGGAGACATGACAATGGGATGTCACACAGGCTCCTGGATTAGATCCCAGCTTAAATTCTAGCCCAGAAAAGAGAGATTATTGGAACAATTGACAAAGTGCTAATAAAGCATGCATATGAAGTGGTCTTATTGAACTAATGTTAATTTTATGATTTTGATAATTGTACTATGGTTATGTAAGATGTTAACTTGAAAAATCTGGATGAAGGGAATATGGAAGTTCTTTGTACTATTTTTATATCTTTTTATAAATTTAAAATTATTTCAAAAATAGAAAGTTAAAGTTAAACAAAGTGACTTTTACAAGGAGAGGAGAGTCAGGTGGGGGGTAGGAGATACAGAATGAAGGAAAATATGACAGATAATAGTGAATAAATTGTTCCGGGCCTGGATTCTTCCTCCCACAAATCCTGTCCAGAGTGATGGGCCCTGAGTGGCTTGGAACACAGCATGGATTTGTCTCTTCCCAGAGATGCTTTTTCATTTCTCAACAGCCTCAACATGAAAATCACCAACAGGAGTCTTGGGGCCTCCGACTCCTGCTGATATGTTCACTGGGAAAAATCAATTACAGCCTAATTACCTCAGGGGGTTAATTAGCCTCCTGTAACTTGGGTGTCCACTGTGAACAGGAGCAGCCTGTCAGTCCTCGGTCAGTGAGCAGGGGTGGCTGAGCCAGAGGCTACTCTAGGGAACAGCCTGCGTCAGGGCTGGGAAGGGGCCTCAGCCAGTCTGGGAGAGGAGCAGACAGACAACTGACCCGGGGCAGTCACCAGGGCTGGCAGAGGTGTGGTGCCACTAATTTAAGCTCCTCTGCACCACAGGTGCTGACGGGGCTGAGATGACAACTGCAGCAGAAAGAAGAATTACAGACCCGTGCAAGTTCTCAGGCCAGCAGTTGCCGGAAATCACTGGAATCAGGGAGAAGGCACGGAGCCCTGAGCAGCTCAGGAAACTGACTCTCTGAGGGCAGAGACCAGGCACCACCAGCAGCCCCCGCAAACACTCTTCCAGTAGCATAAAGACACAGGGGCCAGTCAGCAGTCACGGTCACTGGCCACATCTGAGAGTAAAATGGGATCAAAGCAGCCCACTCTGTGAGGGGCAGTGTGTACATCATGTAACCCCTTCCTACTCAGATGGACAAGGCCCAAGATGCGGTATCTCCCTCAGTACAGCACCGCCATGTGGATGGGTTGCATCTGTGAGGTCTATACCAGCTAGGAAAGACTTGGATATTAGGGAAGTGGAAATACTTCCCGTTTTATTGTGTTGTTGTTTTTTTTTTGGGGGGGGATTAATTTGTAGAGAATTTGTAAATGATTTTATAATTAAATCTGAATTCAAATATTGTCCTTGCCATTTTATTCACTGTGTGAACTTGAGCATGTCACTCAACTTCTCTGAGCCTCATTTTCTTCATTGGCACCACGGAGGTGAGAATACTTACCTTCCGATATTGTTGTAAGGGTTAAATAATTAAATGCTAAGCAACATTGCTCCCTGTTCAAAGCATCTCTATATTAACATCATCCATTTAAACCCATCCTTGCGGTTTGCTTTTGTTTGTTTTTTAAACTGATCTGAATCTTTGAAATGCTCACAGGGGTGCTCCAGAAGGTTTGTAATTTTCCATCGTAGGTAAGAACCAGAGCAGGTTTCTTTGGACAACAGGCAGGATGAGGCAGGAAAAGGACAGGGCATCAGCTCGGGGAAGATGGAGTCAAGTAGCAGCCCCTCCCTTGCTTTTTTAAACCTGCAGACCACAGTGGTACCTGCCCAGGTCTTTGTTCCTAGTCACCATAAGGGAATGTGCAATTAGTTTCAAAGCACAAGTGACAGTCGTTGAATAGGGAGCTGTGAAGAGTGATGGGCACACAATGCAACTAAAGTTAAGCACAACTCTTCCTCTCCCAGGCCATTCAAAACCTGAGCAGCTGCGTTTTCACTCCCATCATCTATTCATCTTCCTTTGCAATTTGCTATTTTGGAAACATCATTCCCCCCTCCCTCCATATAATTAATTACCTATTTCTTCCCATTAAAATCACAAACAAATGGGGACAGATACTAAACCCTGGGAAATGGCGCAGTGGATAATGTAGTGCTTTTCTTTTTTTCTCCCATGTCCAACTTTGCAACTCTGAGCTAATGGTAACTACTGAAATCAACATTTCTGCTGAGATGAGCTAAACCTGCTTTGTGAAATATTCACCCACCATGGAACCAATTTCTTGGCTGTACCTGGGTCAGCCAGCCTGGCCGGGGCTACTGGGCTGGCTCTGTGTCCCTTGTGGTATGCAGGTGCACACAGATTTGCATATACACGCATGCATAGGCACAAGGACACGCTCCATACTCTTGTCATTTATGTCTGGACATGGACCATCCAGACACTTGAGAGGCTGTCTATGTCCCCAAATTAAATAAACTCAAATCTGACAATTTATCTAAAAAGGCTCAATTTGTACCTTTCCCCCACAATCCTGGTTGTCTCCTCTTACTCTGAAAACTTAGGGACTTACCTCGGTGATTTGGGGGTTGGAGCACTTAACGTTGTGGCTGGACCAGTCCAGCCAGGGACTGGAGGGGCTGGTACAGTGCTGGTGGAGGGTGCATCTGCGCTCGCCGCTGCACCAGCCACACTCGAACTTTCGGTCGGCCTTGAGGCAGAGCCCACAGCTCTCCCGCTGGGCTGCACACTTGTAGAGGTGCACTGTAAAGAGAGGGGGGCTGTCAAGATGGGATGCCAGAGGCAGCTCACCGTGCACCCTCTTCTTGCAAGCACGACAGACACCATCCCTAACCGTGGATAACACCCCATCATCATTGCAAGAATAATGGATGGGAAATTAATAATAAATTGAACCTCTTAGTAGTCATTTTAAGGCACTACAGAAAATAATATTATTTCAGAGTTTCTGGCTCAAGATTGAATCAGACCAGGGCTTTAATTGTGGCTTCCTGACTTCCGAGCAATGTGACAAAGTATTTAACCTCCCTGAACCTCATTTATCTATCTCTAACACAGAGATAATCATTGTTTTTTGGGAGGTTTGAATGAGATGTTGTATAGTAAGCGCTTAGCGCAGTGCTGGTGACATAGCTGATGTTCTATACATGCTTATTATCTTTTCTTTGAGCTCAAACTGTATTCTTTTGCTGCTGTCTTTCCTACTCACAGATGGCCCCTATTTCGAGAGGTAAGGGCTTATTTCCTCATTGCAGGTTAAAATGAAGCTCAAAGAGCAACGTAATGACTATTACAGCTTACTAAGCTTAGTGCCCCAAACGGGAGTCCTGAGGCTCCAGTTGTCTCTGCTGCTAGTTGGACATCCAGAGGAATTTCACCTTGTATGCTGGAGATTGTGTGGATCTGGGACAGGAGTCAGCCTGAGCTTAAAGAAAGGCTGGGTAGCTGGGGAGGTATTGCTGGTAAGGAAAGTGGGTGACAGAGTCCTGTTGTCAGCCCCTGTGGATGGACAGCACGTCCCAGAGAGGACAAACTGGCTCCTTAACAGGTCACATGTGCCATCTACAAGCCCGTTTTCTTTGCTTTTTGTCTCCTACTGACCAACCAGTTAGTGAAAATGTGCTGTGTGAGTCTGGGCTTAGTTTTTTCCCTGCTAGGGTTTTGAACTAGGAGTCCCAAAAGAATTCTATAAAACCAGAACAAAGCTGACCCTCTGTACTCACCAGTTCTGTATTTGTGGATGCAACCAACCATGGATTGAAAATATTTTAAAAAATGTATCTGCACTGAACATATACAGACTTTTTATCTGATTGTTATTCCTTAAACATAGTGTATAACAACTATGAATAGCACATTTACATTGTATGAGGTATTAGAAGTAAGCTAGATATTGCTGAAAGCAGATAGGGACATGCACAAATTATGCGCAAACACTGTGTCATTTTATAGAAGAGACCTGAGAGGCCCCAGACTTTGATCTCAGCAGGGGGTCCTGAAACCAATCCAATGTGGAGATTGAAGGATGACTATACTCAGTCATTTTTCAACCCTTCTGGTCAAGCAGACATTAGCTTTTAGGATGGGCACTATGCCTCTGCTGGAGCTCAGGTACATGCCCTGGGAGAGAGGTACTTTTTATTCTTTCCTAGGTTCTCCCCCCATTTCTCTGGTCTGCCCAGCATTCCCTGGTCCGGGCTCAAGGACTATGTAAACATCCTTATGTCTATGGCTCCTTAAGGTAGAGGGCAGGAAATGGGAGTCCTAAAATAAACAAGTACACACTGAGCATTTATAAATATGGACCACATGCTCTCCAGCCATGAACTTACTGGATCCTCATGATGACCCTCTGCCATGGGCATCCCTTTCTCCATGGCGCAGGCAAGGACACTGGGGTGTAGAAAGGAGCTGTAATTGGCTCAAGTTCACACTGCTGCAAGTTCAAGTGCCAGCAGTTGAACCTTGGTTTGTTGGATTCTAGAACCTTAGTCCTTAGACACTGTGGCCTTATCCCCCCAACACCTGGGTGTACAGTCACCCTGACACCCAGGGTTCCAAGTACAAAGCAATCTCTGGGATCTAGGCCTAGCTCCTCAGTAAAGAAAGAGTCTCCTATCTCTTAGTGGTGAGAAAATTTTGGCCTGGGAATGAGGAAAAATAGTATTAAAAAAATCTCCCAGAATCAAGTTGCTCTCTCGCAGTCCAAGGAGCATTTATTTTAAAGGCAGCAAAGAGGCAAATCCCCAGATGCTGAAATACTTATAGACCACACTCTACTGTGTCCTCAGGCTCCTTCCCAGGGGGTGACTCTCAGATGAAAACAGAGCCTGTGACAGCTTCAACTGCTTGAACTGAAGTAAGATACATTTCTCGTGGTGGGGAAAGGGGTTCAAATCCCACAGAGAGCTGAGCAGCCGGTCTTCACTGCGATGTGGGTAGCTTGTGCGTGAGTTCTGAAATTAAACTGGCTTGGTACAGATCCTGGCTCTTGCTATCTAACTTGGCCCTTTTCTTCACCTTTTTGGATCTCACTTTCCTCATCTACAAAATGGGAACAAAAATAGTACATGCCTTTTGGAGTTGTGATGATTAAGAGAAATAATGACAAACAAATCACTTAATAATGATTTTTCCACTGAATGCTCAGCAAACTGGAGAGTCTTTTACCATCCTTAACAACGCAGCTAGAATTTGGTATCTGTCACATTAAAGGAGGGGCCACTCTTGGCCCATGGAAAAAGCTCCACATATGTTTGTAGGTTGGTAAATGAAGGTGGTCCTCGTGCGGTACCCCCTCCTGCTCCAGTCCAGTCCCCTTCCTGAGCTTCTTTGGTCCAGATGTGGGCCTGACTACACATGCTGGTCCCTCCCACCTGCCTCAGGACCAGGAGTGCAGCCTTAAAAACCTTCTTTGTGCGGTGACCGTGACCAGGGCCAAGGACAGAGAAACGAGAGCTGAGTGGAAACAATATCTCCATTTCCAGGGAAACTGGCGGGACGTTCCTGCCTGCTGTTCTCCTAGGTCAGGTTCCACAGACACTTCAAAGCCACCGGGAGCCAAAGAATAGCGTGGATGAGTTGGCAGCCGCCCGACGAATGCTCTGGTTGTAATAAAACAGGGCTCCCAACAGGACTCCTTTGATGGCTCCAAATGTTGCTTTAGGATCCTCTGAAGAGTTCCGCTGACAGAGGGAGTGTATTATTCAAGGCACCGCAGCCTGCTGGCTCTGATTCCTCCAGCCCCAGTCTTTCCCGGGGTCGCGAAAAGATCAAACCTCTACCCGGAAGTAGCTGCTTACCTTTCAAGTCCTGAGGGTTGTCAATGATGAAATTGCCATTCCACACGACGGCGAAGTCCACGGCCAGGTTGCTGATGTCCATCCCATCATACTGGTACTGGGGGGAGGGGGCAGAGGCACATGGCTCAAGAGGCTGTCTGTCATGAGGAGCCAGAGGCTCAGAGCTACCCTTCATCCTGCTCTAAGGAGCCCTAAAATGCCCTTTACCTGACTCCCCAATCAGGAATGCCTCCAGGATCCCACCCCAAACTCCCAGCTGGGCATTCGGTGCCTTGCATAAGCTGATCCAAATGGACTTCTCCAATTTTCTTCTCTACTGCTTTCCTGCAGAAATCTTAAATCCACCTGTCTCCAAACACACCTGCCTAGCCCCCTCTCTGTGTCTTGGTTGAGTTTCTATCTCATAAGAAATGCCATCCTTTCACCACGATCTCCATCCTTTTAACTCACCCTCATCATTCTCCCAGTCCAGCTCTGGTCTACCTTCCCCCAGGCAACTTCTCCAATATCCCTTCCACCCCTCCCCAACCTCCCTGTCCCCTGGCATTGCTGCTCTCCTCCAGGAACTGCTGTTCATCTTTTCACGCACAAGTCTAGTCTTTCTAGAAAGTCTGTGAATTCTTGGAGGTAAAGCCATCCCCTCTCACTACCCCCCAGAGAGGCGGAGCTTGGAATAGGGCTTGTGGTGACACTTGTGGACCAGCTGGCTGGCCAGGCCCTGTGCTCGTCCTCTCTTTCTATACATGAGCCTTACTTTGGTCCATGGTCCACTAAGGAGAAGTGTCCAGAGCTTTCTGGACAGAGATCTCCTCTGCTCCCCCATGAAAGGTATCCAGCTATGGCTAACAGTCCACTTTCTCTCCTGCTAATCACACAAGGGACTTTGAGACCCTTCAGAAACAGCCCCTCTGGGTGGCCCAGCTCCCACCGCCACCTCTGAAGGGAACCTTTTGGTATCTCCTCTTGGGCTGCCCAGTCCTAGCCACTTAGCTCTGGAGGGCACGTCCCTGTCGGCCCTCTTGCCCCCGGCCCTTCCCGCTGCCTTCCTCCTTTGTTGAGTTCCATTTCCTTCTCATCCCACCTTTCCCTTGCGCTTGGCCGCCTTCCACCGATTACAAATTCTATCAAGCGCCTGTGACCCCGGAATCTGACAGCTCCCTGATAAGAGGCCCAGATTCTCTTTATCTCTCCCAGGCGAATTAGCTTCCCTCAACACCTTTGTCACGTCCCCATCTCCGAGCTGACCCCCCACAGTCAGACACAGGGAGTTGGCAGATAAAAAGATCTTCTCTGGGCTAGAATTATAATTAAACACCTCGGTGCTTTCTGTCCGCCATCCGGGACTGGTTTAACCCTTGCGGATCCTGAAACGCGCTGCTTCCCGCTTCCTCTCCCCTCCCAACTCACTTCCTCTCCCCTCTTTTCTATTACCTTTGGGGTGATGCCCTCTGGTTTTGCATGTGGGCAAGGTGTGGGGGACAGGGTGGGGTGGAGCTGCTTCACGCTGGTTGGAGTTTCCACACAGGCAAAGGCAGGCTCTTTAAACTTCAGAAAGGGTACTGAGATCCCCCGCTTCTGCCATGAGGACAGTTCATTTCCTCTGACACCATTCATTTGATCTGCCCTGGCTGAGGGTCCAGGGTACCTGCACATTCTTCTGTCCCTGGGGACATAGGGTCAGCTTGGGACCCTGGATGGTTCTAGAAGTTGGGAGCACCAGTCTGAGGGCTTGGCGCAGGTGGGAGAGAAAGTCCTGCTCCAGGCAGGGCCCCAGCTCGAGTCCTCTTACCGAACTATTCTGACACTGGACACTGGAGCTGTTGAAGCGCAGGGCAGGGACCCGGTGGATGGCCCCCTGGATGTTGAGAACACATTCGTAGCCTCGCTGGCCCGACTGAGGCTGGGGCAAGTTTCGAGCCTTAAGGGTGATCGGTTTCACCTCTCCGACCGGAATCAGAATCTCCTCCGTGGGCACCAGCTGGGGACAGTCCTGAAAGAGCAAGAAAAGGGGTTCCATTTGTCCTCAGCTCATGCTTTCTTACTCACCTAAGGAAAGACAAGGTCAGAACCAGGAGGCTGAGAACCTGGTGAATCCAGGTGGGCTCCCCACGAGAAGGACATTACCTCACTTAAGAGGTGTGTGAGTCAGCAGGGAAAATGAGATCTCTCCTAGCTCCCGGGCTTTGATATTGTCATCACCATCCCACAAACTGTCCTGGGTCTGATGTGTGTGTTACAATTCAGGAATTAATTTGCAAGCACCAGTACGGCAAGCTGTGGATTTTTATCTCCAGAGAAGCTGGATGAAAGAGCCTCTATGTGTCCCTGTCCCCAGCTCCGGCACCCCACCTCTGGTTTCATCTGGTTCCCCAGCTCTGGCTCCCTGCCCCTCACATGGTCAATGCCCGGGGCATCCTGTTATCAGCAGCTTCAGCTTCTCAGCTCCAGCTGAGCTGGGCTTTCTAGGAGGTGGATCAGGCTCTCCCAGCAATGCTCTAAATACTTGCTCTGGCTTTTTATCTTATTTCATTACCAAGCCCTGCATGAATGCCATGTTCCTTTAGAAAACAAAACCCAGACAAGAAAGTCATGGTAGGGAGGGGCTGTGGGAAGGACCATGAGAGAGAAGGTGAGAAAGAGATTGATTTTCTTCAGTTCTAAGTCTGGATGCTTCTTTGCTCTCTCAGAGGTCAAATGTCATTGCCTAACAGCTCTGATCTCCTCCTTCCCCCCACTCCAGGAAAGATCTGAGCCCAGCAGCCCCTGGCAATGAGGATGTAGAAACCTTCTCCATGAAGAATCATTTCCTATCTCCAGGGTTCAACTGGAGGAATTCTTGCAGGAGGCTCCACTTCCCTTGGATGTTTGTACCTGGGGAGAGCTTTTGAGAATGTTATGGGGGGTCCCAATACTCTGAGCCCTGCAGAGGAGGTGCTACTGGTACTAGATGACCCAGAATCAAGATTGCTAGATTTCCTGCAAGGTGTGGACAGTCTGCAATAGTAAGAGAGATAAGAGATTGTCCCTTTTGGGATGACAGAGGTGATCCCCAATAAGAAGCCTTATATAACTCAGGTAACGTTAAGCAATGGCACAGCCCCGCTGGTCAGCCTGTTACTTATGGGGCAGATTTAGGCAGTCACTTCTTTTCTGTAGATCCCAGTTGCAAGCGTGACATGCCGGTTGGCCTCTTAACCCCACAATCTTGCATGCCATATTCTGACCATACAAAATGAACAGCTAGTTCTGATGTGCCATCTCCCTTACTGGATTTTTTTTTTCTCCTGGACTTTTTTGAACATGCTTTTCTCTCTCCCAAACTCTAACACTCACTTACTGGGCTGTGAATTTCTTGAGGATTAGGTGGTGGTATATTCAAGCCCACATACCCATTCTTCATTTCAGTGCCTGAAGTGTAATGGACACTTGTCATCGTTTGTGGGTGTGTGAATATAAAGAAGAAAATAAAGCAATGGGTAAAAAGATCTTGAAGTTTCTTTATAGTTCCAACTTTTCAGATTTGTTGGAGATGAGGGTAAAACTCTTCTTTCTAGACATTAAGACACTTGAAGAGAAGTTTGATTCCCAAGAACTGGGGTTGGAAACTGCCCTGGTTTCTGGAGTCTTCGATGATCTAACCAGCATGTCTGAATCTACTAAGGAATCTCGAGGAACCATGAAGAACTGGATCCAGGGGAAATTTCCCATGGGAATCTGCCTAGGAGGGCTTGGATGGACCTCCAGGATCACTGGTGCCATCCCCTGCCTGTCAGCCAACCACACGTGAGGACTCCAGGCAGGCAGAGTCTCCACGAGGGACAGGATCACACGGCAGTGCCAGAACAGATGGGCCTGTTCAGGAGCCAGTCACTCAGGCTGCCAACTCATAAACTTGCTCTTTACTGCACTTTTACTTTCATTCCCTGCGGGCACTCTTGACAGAGTCTTTCATATATTTATAGCCAAGGGAAAAAAAAAAAAGAAAACCGCTTTAGGGAAGCCCAGGCATCTCATGGAAAAGGAGATGCCATGTCCTGTTAGTGGCTAAAAATCAACATCGAATTTAATAAGTTAGACTCTTAATTTAGAATAGAAATAAAGCTGAGGTATAATGCTGTGTGTGTGTGTGTGTGTGTGTGTGTGTGTGTGTGTGTGTGGAGGGAGGGAGAGAGAGAGAGAGAGAGAGAGAGAATAGATTTTCAGATTCTGAACCTGTTGGTATACTGTAAAAGATGAGCAGTTATTTCTCATCTCTAATGAGCTCAGAGAACAAATTCAAATTTCAGTAGCAGGGTCCTAAAGATGTACTTTTGGAGCTGTGATGTCTCCAGTAAGTAAACAATATTGTAGAATCCTTTTAACTCTGATCTCTCTCTCTCTCTCTCTCTCTCTCTCTCTCTCTCTCTCTCTCTC